AAGCTTATTTGTGAAATGGCTCGACAAATTGTATGTATAAAACAATATTTATATAGATTGTTTTAACTTGATCCAAAAAAAAAAAAAAACAATTTCTAAACTGTGTGAAAATGTTAATGTCATTGTCAACAGTTTCTTTTTATTCATGTAGGGCAAGGACATATACATTGAGGACTTTTATGTTGTCCCTGTGTGGAAAGAAACTCCTAACAACATTGTTACTGGATTACCGGTGCGTGTATGTACTGTATTTACTGTGTGAGAAGTACAAACTAAATTAAACGACATAACTGTCCTGATCAATTTCAGGAAGATGCAGACTTGAAAGACCTGTTAGCCTTTCCAGCATGGACAAATGCCAATGGACCAGACCACTTTGTTGTCTGTGTAAGAAAATATTGAAATGTCTAGTGCATACATTAATTGGTATTGCAATGTGTGTGTTTCTAAAATAAAACACTGAAAAATCTTGGAAGAAGCAATAATGTTCAAATGAAATATTTTTACACCTTTAACATTGTAGATAATGATGCCGCTTCGAAGAGGGATGGTGTTTTTAGACTCTCTGTACGCAGAGCATGAATCAGGATTTGGAGATGAGGAATACAGGGCAATTTTTAGGTCTATCAATAAACTAAGACATGTTTCAGCCTTTATGTGATATATGGCTACGTTCCTATAGCCGATTCTATTTATTTCCTAACCATGTATTATAGTTCTGTCACATTTGGCTACGTTCCTATAGCCGTTTCTTGAACTTCTGGCTATGTTCATCTAGCCTTTTTTATGCATGGTGTTCTAGAGTTGAGGTGAGCTGTAATTGTTAGTATTACTACTAATATGTTTGGTTTACAGGAAAATTGCTTACCAAGATCAAAAGACTGGATATGATTTTCCAGTGAGGAATCAACTTAAAAAAAAAAAATTATTTTATACTTTTACAACAATTAAATTTTTTGTACATTATTCTAAAATAAAATTGATTTGCTTTGCCTATTTTAGGCTTTGCCACGTCAGACAAAAGGGGATGATTGTGGTGTTTTTGTACTCTTGGTAAGATATAAATTGAGTTAATTGATTTAAAGATTTTGTAAACATTGTAAATGACTGTGGCTTCTCTCTTTTCAGTACACCCTCTCAATGGTGTGTGGCATTGGGTTTCAATTCCAGGAGGTATTATTTTATTATTTATGTAACTTTATTTTGTTTGTGCTTTTCTTAATCATAGCTAAAATGTAACTATTTTAATGTATATTATCTTGCTTTCTTCTAAGCAACATATCTTTAAAAAAAAAAGGGGCATGGTTATTGCAAGCACACCCAACATCATGTATTAACAAAAACATGTTGGTTAACTGTCAGACTAAACAGTCTTTCTTTCAGATGGATATGCCTATCATCCGTCAGTGGTGGTGCCTTCTAATCATGGAACGATTTCAAATTGATGGGTATGTCAGTATTTATTTATTTTTCTTGTAAATCTGTAAAATTAAAAATTTATATTGAGTCAATACAACAACTTGTAACATGAATAACAAAACATACTTAAAATCTCTCTTACCGGTGACCAGTATGTCACCGACTCGGTCCCAGTAACTCCCCTCGCTGGCCAGCAGAGGCCACCATCTCCAGACTTTTAGCATTACGTCATCCATCTACACTGATTGCGCATACACCTGATTGGAATCTGGCTAATGACCCACGTACCTCTTATAAGCCGCACTCAAACACTCATTCAGGGCGAAGTCTTGTTTAGCCCCGGCCAGCATTTCTGAGCATTATCTCCATCCTGATCTCCTGTGCACGTGTAACCCCACCGGTCCTATGCCACCCAACCTGCTCCGAGCTGGTATCGAACCGGCAACTTTCCGCATGGGAGTCAGGTGCTTTACCAAGGAGGCTAAATAGCATGGCCTCTAGCGTCTGTCACTAGAGTACCTTTAGAGGTCAGAGGAGTGAGGTTTACCTGCACAGCACACACTAGCTGGCCTCCGTTACACACGACTCCAGCCTGTCTCTTACTTTGCTTCGCCTTCTGCCTGCCCACGACCCACGCTTGTTATACGGACTCTGACTCTCTCTTTGCCTGCCCACGAACCACGCCTGTTATACGGACTCTGATCCTTGCTGCCTGCCCTTGACCCAAGCCTGCATAACGGATCCTGGTTCTCGCTCACTCCCTTCCACTCATGGCTGGTAACTCACTCTGTGTCTGTTCATCATCAGTCTTGATACCCATACTACTACTGTGGATGTGTGTGTGCACTCCGGTGCATATTGTGTGTTTGAGTGAAGTTTTGATTAATAAATACTGCATAATGGATCCCTCCGTGTCAGTCTCCTCGTTACACAGTAATTATGGATTTTGTCTTGTCTTGTTATTAAAAGCTATGGGCACAGATTTGCTTTCTGGACTGAGGAGGCAAGAAGTGTCTTGGATGGAAAGATTCTACTCCTTTTTAGGGTGAAAAGAAAAACCACATTCAATCTTCCGGCACATGTCCAAGCAGTTCAAGATCGGGAAAGGAATGACAAAAGATTAGTGGACTTGATTATCACATCAAAATCAGCAGAGCAGCATTTGGTGGTATAGATGGTTCCACTTTAAATTACTCCTCTAGACTCTGAGTATGGTTGACTTAAATATAGTCAAGTGACAATTTAACTATTATTTGCCAAATATAATTAATTACTTGTGCATTTACATATGAAATATAATTTCCTTCTATGGCCCAAAGGATATACTCGGTGGGAAAAGGTCAAATTGGTTTCCACTAAAACCCCGTTCTCAAGTGCCTGTCTACATTGAGAATGAGCAGTCCCAGTCAATCATTTGTGACTACATCAGAGGAATTCTTAATAAAACCAAATATACACATTGCCACAGAGACTTAGGGAATGGTCACCTACAGTGGTAGAAACGCGGAACTTTGTCTAGACACTGTTAACAGTGATACCTTCCCTACCCATGACAATGTTCTGCTAAATCCTGATTTCATCTTGTAACGCTGGACAGAATGTGGCCCAGGATCTTTGTCCAGTGCACGTGTTAGCAGTTGCAAGGCAGCAAAATGATTGATCCGTCCCTGGGTGGGCTTGAACCACCAACCTTTCAGTTAACAGCCGAACGCGCTAACCGATTGTGCCACAGAGACTTAGTGAAAAGTCACCTACAGTGGTAGAAACGTGGAACTTTGTCTCAAAAGGTCTGCTATATGAACCCTAATGTAAGTTTGCTGAGAGAGAGAGAGAAAAGTAACAGAAACGCCCAACGTGGGGCTTGAACCCACGACCCTGAGATTAAGAGTCTCATGCTCTACCGACTGAGCTAGCCAGGTGGATGAGGAGTTCCTACTAGAACAATCTTCTGCTAAATCCTGATTTCATTTTGCAACGCTGGACAGAATGTGGCCCAGAATCTATGTCCAGTGCACGTGTTAGCAGTTGCAAGGCAGCAAAATGCCTAATTCGTCCCTGGGTGGGCTTGAACCACCAACCTTTCAGTTAACAGCCGAACGCGCTAACCGATTGCGCCACAGAGACTTAGTGAAAGGTCACCTACAGTGGTAGAAACGCGGAACTTTGTCTCAAAGTCTGCTACATGAACCCTAATGTAAGTTTGCTGGGAGAGAGAGAGAAAAATAACAGGAACGCCCAACGTGGGGCTCGAACCCACGACCCTGACATTAAGAGTCTCATGCTCTACCGACTGAGGTAGCCGGGCTGATGAGATGAACTTTTAAGAGCTAAACACTGTTTCACACCGCAAGCGTCAGCGGCGCGTGAGCGGCGCGTGAGCAGAGCGTGAGCAGCGCGTGTGTTTTCGGCGTCCATGTTAACAGATTAGAGCTTTCATACCGCACGCAGCAGCAGCGCGTCAGAGCGAGGCGTGAGCGTCGCCGAAGCAGCAGTGCAGCGATAGTTTCGGCGCTGGGTCTATTTTTGACGCGCTGCTCACGCTCAATTAAAGTGACAGTGCATTGAGAATGACCAAAACACATTGAATGACAGTAAAAACTAACAATTTTACCCAATAAATGCGTTAATAATGTCAAATGGTTTATATATAGTCATTCAAATGAACTTAAAACGATTAAAAACGGCAACAAACATTTATTTAGGCCCGAACTACAAAACCAAATGTAAAACTATTTTACTACCAGTTTTGCTTAAGTTGCACACTAGTGTTGTAGGAGAGGGGAAATGGAATATTTACGGGATTTGTAGTCCATAGCGAAGTGTATTGTGGGTAACGTTAGTGTAGTGCGACACGCATGCTGGATTATGTGAGCTCGCTGTGTTCTGTGCAGCTAGCAGAGCAAGAAAGTTTTAATCGGCTTTGTTTTATGTTCACTCGAATTATTCCTACCGGGAGCTGTTTGCACTGTGAATCTGACAACACGAAAATAAGTAAAAGAATGGCATGCATTAATTACTTTTGTCCGTCTCATCATCTGCACGAGCATGAATTAACGAGCTGTTATTCTGCCGCTGGACATCACTGAAGCGGGGAAATTAACACTAGTTTGATCATGTATAAATATCATTATAACTATATTGTATAAATATGATTATAACTAGGTCTACAGCAACCTGATAATCAAAAAACAAATGACATGATATCACAGGCGATTGTTTTCCGACTGTAGACAATTCTCATATAAGTTAGCTTGAGAAGCATACAGTACTATTTGATCTATAAAATTAGTAAAATAAACATTTGCAGGTTAATGAAACAGCATAGGAGGGGCCTTGGTACAGATGAAAAGTTTAAAAAGTGTATTTGTATATAGAGGGGTAACTAGATAGAATAGACAGAGATAGGTTGATCTCAGCAGCAGCTGCCGAAGAGCTGCGCTGCAGACGCAGCTGGTGTGAAAGGCAAACGCCTGCGTGCTGCTACTGCTCGACATACGCGCTGCTCACGCTCTGCTCACGCGCCGCTGACGCTTGCGGTGTGAAACAGGCATAACGCGCTAACCGATTGCGCCACAGAGACTTAGTGAAAGGTCACCTACAGTGGTAGAAACGCGGAACTTTGTCTCAAAAGGTCTGCTATATGAACCCTAGTGATAGTTTGCTGAGAGAAAGAGAGGTAACAGAAACGCCCAATGTGGGGCTCTAACCCACGACGCTGAGATTAAGAGTCTCAAGCTTTATCGACTGAGCTAGCGGGGCTGATGAAAAGCTCTTCTAGGAGCTAGAAACCGTTTACAGTAATACCTTCCCTACCCGTGACAATGTTCTGCTAAATCCTGATTTCATCTTGTAACGCTAGACAGAATGTGGCCCAGGATATATGCCCAGTGCACGGTTTAGCAGTTGCAAGGCAGCAAAATGCCTAATTCGTCCCTGGGTGGGCTTGAACCACCAACCTTTCAGTTAACAGCCAAACGCGCTAACCGATTGCACCACAGAGACTTAGTGAAAGGTCACCTACAGTAGTAGAAAGTCAGAACTTTGTCTCAAAAGGTCTGCTATATGAACCCTAATGTAAGTTTGCTAAGAGAGAGAGAGAAAAGTAACAGAAACGCCCAACTAGGGGCTCGAACCCACGACCCTGAGATAAAGAGTCTCATGCTCTACCGACTGAGCTAGCCAGGCTGATGAGAAGCTCTTTTAGGAACCAGAAACCGTTTACAGTAATACCTTCCTACCCGTGACA